AAGACTTAATGGAGCATTTTCCCAGAAGAGTAAGAAATATTAGTTGGAATTATTTCTCTTTGAAGAATAGGAAAGTATAGGTTAGAAATATTTCCTTTTATTATAATCACCTGTAACTGAGACAGTTTTTTTTAAAAAGCAGCCATTTAAAAAAAAATTTAAACTTTATTTACATTATTTTTTCCCCTTCGATAAGCCTGTGTGTTTATCAATTAGCAAAGTGGTATGCCATATGTTAAGATACACAAGATATTATTGTGAATTGTACTCTACCCCTGTTGATTAAATAGATATATCCATATGGAATTTTAGTGGCAGCAATACATAATTAAATTACCCCAAGTTGTTCCAAGTCAAACTGCCTTTTGCAATTGTCCAATGGGGATTTTGTCAATACCAATAGTATTCAAGTAGTGCTCCAGTTTTTTTGGGATTGCACCCAAGGTGCCTATTTGCTTTCTTTTGCCACAGTCATTCTATTTCTATTTGCAGGTCTCTGTATTTTATTGTCTTCTCTAGTTCTTTCTCTTGTCTTCTTCTCTTTCCAGATACTGTCATATTCACCGTTCAGACATTTTTATTGACATTTGTTAAAGTCCATTTGACACTTCAGGTGCAATAAGTGTGGAGAAAAACTATGTTCTGTCACTCTTACTTCCACAAGGTAGGCCTTAATTGCAGCTTTAATCTATGTTTGGTCAGATTCATTCTTTGTTTTTCTCCAGTGGTGCTCTACTGATCTCTTGGCCCTTTTCAAGACCGCTCATAACCACTCCCTCAGAAAACCCTGGGGAAGTAATTGAGAAAGGCAGGCCCAGAAGCACTATAGCTCACGCAACCTTCACTAATGCAGTCTACACACTTAGTCCATGGATCAATGTGAAATGTATTTGTACAGGTAGTCTTCAACTTATGACCATCATGGAGCCTTCCTATTATGGTTGTAAATCATGACAGTTGTAAAGCAGATCATCATGTGACCGACCCAATTTTACAATCTTTTTTATAGTGCTTGTTAAGCAAATGGGATATTTTTGCCTCAAACTGGAAGTAAATGTTGGTTTTCAGCAAAAACTTTATAAACTGTGGTCATATGTCCATGGGACACTGCAAATGGCCATAAATGCAGCCATTGCTGAACACCCCGAAATGCAGCCATGTGATTGCAGGGGTGGGTGGACTGACCACTGGAATT